GAGCATGCTTTTCAAAATAATTCCTTCACCTATCTCTATCATCCTCCCTCAATCTTATACTTGGAAGGGCCGAGCATAAGATTGTTACAATGAATACGGAACAACGGAGCACTGAGTCCTTTGGTTAAAATGTCAGCAAACTGTTCCTTGGATGACACAAACTGCACCAGAAGCTTGTGTGTAGCTACTCGTTCCCGAACAAAATGCACATCAACTTCGATGTGTTTGGTGCGTTGATGTTGCACTGGATTAAAGGACAGTGCTATAGCTGAGAGATTATCACAGAACAACACAGGAGGTGCAGAGAGTGGAAGATGAAGAAAGGCAAGTATTTGTTGAATCCAATCAAGCTCTGCCGCTGTAGAAGATAAAGCTCGATACTCAGCCTCAGTTGAGGATCTTGAGACAGTTTGTTGCTTCTTGGAGGACCAAGATATGGGGTTATTGCCGAGGAACACAACCAATCCAGTTGTAGAACGTCGATCATTGGGATCGCCTGCCCAATCCGCATCACTAAAGGCATGTAAATCCAAATCTCCTCGGGAATAAGTAAGACCAACATCCACAGTTCCTTTCAAATATCTCAAAATCCGCTTTACTGCAGTGAAATGAGAGGCCATTGGATTCTGCATAAACTGAGACACTTGATGCACAGAGAAGGCAATGTCGGGTCTTGTGAAGGTAAGATATTGCAGAGCACCAACCACACTTCGATATAAAGAGGGATTAGGATAGGGCTCACCATCATCCTTTAACAACCGGTTGTAGGGGAGACAGGGTGTATCGCATGCCTTTGATTCATGCATTTCTGTCTTAACAAGTAACTCCTGAATATACTTATGTTGTGACAAAAACAGACCATTGGGAGTCTGAGATATCTGAATCCCCAAGAAGAAGTGAAGAGGACCTAAGTCCTTGATATCAAACTCTGAAGTTAAGGCAGCAATCACATGTTGTATCTTAGAGTGTGCACTTCCGGTGATGATAATATCATCAACATATAATAATAAGATCACAATGTCAGATCCAATAGGTTTCACAAATAAGGAAGAATCTGAGTAAGTGTGCTGAAATCCCAATGTAGGCAGAAAGGTAGTAAATCGATCATTCCATGCCCGTGGAGCCTGCTTCAAACCATAGAGAGATTTATGCAATTTACACACTAATGTGGGATTATGGGGATCCTCAAAGCCAGGTGGCTGAGCCATGTACACTTCCTCTTGAAGAATGCCATGGAGGAAGGCATTCTTGACGTCAAGTTGTCGAAGAGACCAATGGAAATGGGCAGCAAGGGCAAGAACAATCCTCACTGTGGTGGGCTTAACAACATGACTAAAAGTGTCACTGTAATCAATGCCAGGTTCTTGGCTGAAACCTTTTGCAACCAAGCGAGCTTTATGCCGTGCAATCGACCCGTCAGAATGTCTCTTGATTTTGAAGACCCATTTGCACCCCACCAGATTCTTATTGACTGGTAATGAAACCAAACTCCATGTGCCCTGACCATGTAATGCACTAATTTCTTCTTGCATAGCTTGGAACCAAATTGAACTTTTAAGAGCTGATTTGTATGTTGAGGGTTCACAGATAGACAGATCGACATCCGTAGAAGCAGCAAGGGCAGACAAAAACACCTTTTTCTTACTGATACCACTTTTACTCCGAGTCTGCATAGGATGAAGATTGATTGGTGGTATGGAAGGAACCACCTGAAGTGTTTCAGGGCTATGATCAAGCACCACAGAGATATGGTTGTCAGAAACTGCACCAGTAATGGACTGAGGGAGTGATGGTGATGCATGAAATGGTGACTGAGTGGGACTTGGAGAAGGAGACAGTGAGGAAGATACTGGACTTGTATGAGGATCTTGTGGCAGTATGGTGACTATATGGTGTGGAGTAACTATAGGAGGAGAAGGTTGAGGATCAAGAGTCACAGAACATGATGATTTGGAATTGGTATGTGCCAATAGGTCTTTGTAAGGAAAATCATGTTCACTGAATACAACATGCCTAGAAATAAAGAACCGGTTTTGAGAGACTACATAACAAATGAACCCCTTGTATCTAGACGCATAACCTAAAAATATACATTTTGTTGTCTTGGGTTGAAGTTTGGTAGTATTATATGGTCTGAGAAGAGGGTAACAAGCACAACCAAAAGTTCTTAAGTGGTGAATTACTGGAACCGCACCATACAAGGCTTCAAATAGAGATTGATTGGATAAAAGGGGTGTAGGCATCCGATTAATAAGATAAATGGCTGTTTGACAGGCAAAATACCAAAACTTAGGAGGCATTTGAGCTGTTTGGAGTAAGGTGACTGCGGTTTCAATGACATGTCGATGTTTTCGTTCAGCCATGCCATTTTGTTCGGGAGTGTAAGGGCATGATTTTTGATGTAAAATGCCTTTGTGTAGAAGAAAGGACTGAAGAGGTTTACTTATGTACTCACCACCACCATCACTTTGCAAGATTCTTATTTTTGCAGAAAATTGAGTGAGAACATAAGCATAGAAGCCAATAAAGGTAGTACAAAAATCAGATTTATTGACCAAAGGAAAGAGCCAAGAAAACTTGGTACATTCATCAATAAAGGTAACATAGTACCTATATCCATCCACAGACACACAAGGTGCAGGACCCCAAAGATCACTATGCACCACTTCAAAAGGAATGACAGATTTATTGACACTTGGGTAAAAAGGGAGTTTGCAGAATTTTCCTTCTAGACAGCTTTGACACAGTACAGAACTAGAATGTTTTGGTACACAACATTGGATTTATGCAACATGATAGACACTACAGAATTAGACGGATGTCCTAATCTATTGTGCCATGTAATGGAATTAACAAGCTGACCAAGAAGGGCTTTATGATGAACCATGCCTTGAGAAGGTGCAGGACAAACATTGGCAAGAGAAGAGATGGGATAGAGTCCATTACTGCACAGTCCTTTGTAAAGGATCCTCCCTGTGGCCTTGTCCTGGATCCAAAAACAGAAGGCATCAAAGATAAGCCAACAGTTATTGTCCAAACAAATTTTGTGAACAGATAACAAATTCTGTGATAGTTTAGGCACATATAAAATAGAATTCAGCTTGATAGGATGCATTGAAGGCTTGATAACAGCGTTACCAATATGTGAGACATGCAAACCTTCACCATTTGCAGTTTGAATGACTTCATTGGTTGGATACGGAGAAGCCAGAGATAAATTGGAGAAATCGGCAGTCATATGATTTGTGGCGCCAGAATCCGTGATCCACACTTGTGAAGTAGATGGAGTAACAGGTGAAGGATTGGGCTGGGACACCATAGTATGATAGGCATGTAGTGGAACTTGAGATGTAGCTTGGTGTCCAGGAAAGTGTGATTGAGCCCTTTGTTGGGGATGAACATCAACTGGTGAAAATGGGTACCCTTGCTGAGAATGTGGAGACATTGGAGGGTAAGGCAAATGAGCGTCACCACCAATATAATTGGGACCTTTCTCATTATAAAAGCAGAACCAGGTAGTATGATTGAACCGTCCACAAAGTTGACATCTGGACTTCTCAGGTAGAGCAGAAGGGATAGGCTGCTGCATATAAGGAACCTGACCAAGTATACCAGGACTTGGCGTTGGAAGGACATGAGTTTGAGTAGGCATGTACTGTCTGGGTGAAAAGCTCCTGGAATGTTGATTAAATCTGCCCTTGCCCTTGTTCTTATTGGCATTGAACTGCTTGAATCCACCAGATACAAAACTGGAATGATTAGACCCTCTCGAAGGGGGAGTATGGGCAACCATGGCTGTCATAAACGGTGCATTGACAGTAGACTGAAGAATAGCTTCTTCAGCGAGTAACTGTGTCCGGAATTCTTTCAAAGAAATGACACTTTCACGCCCCCTTATCACAGTCTGAAATGTATTGTACTCTGCTGGTAAACCATTTAATGCCAGTATAACAATATCTTCATCCAGAAAAGAAACCCCTGCTGCAGAAAGATAATCTCTAGCTTCTTTTATCTTCTGTAAGTACTGAGTAATAGAGTCAGAACCCTTTTTAATTGTTTGCAGATTCGATTTCATCTGAAAGATGCTAGTCTTGGAGACAGTTGAAAATTGTTCTTGTAATCGAATCCAGAGATCCCTTGAACTGGTACTCCCAATAGCACAAGACATAGCCACAGGGCTCAAAGACGCAGTGAGTAATTGCATCAGGGCTTTATCATGCATCATCCAAACTAAATACTCATCATTAACAGAGGACGATGATGAATTGGACGAATGTATTGCAGAATCTCCAGAAGAAGAGATAAATCGAGCAGGACAGGGATGTGAGCCATCAACAAACCCTAGGATTCCATTACTCTCAAGCAGTAATTTCATTTGAAAATGCCAATTTAGATAGTTTGAATCATCTAGTTTAACATTCACAGATGTAGAAATCGATGAAACCAGTGCTGTGATTGGTGATTGAAGGAGCTGTAATTGAGAAACAGTTACCATTGTTGTTGTATTGCAAGTGAAAAACTTCTGTAATTTGGCAGAAAAGTCACTGAGAACACACACCAAACACCTGGAGTGCACAACTTGTAGAAGACGAAATCACAACCGAGAACTCAGTTGCAGAGCCTGAGGGACAAAGAAAGACGAGATGAGAGAGCAGACGAAGGGAGTCCGATCAAAATCACAAACAATAAGCAAGAAAGACGAAGATCGATCAAGAAATCAGAGCAGCGGAAGATCGGGATCGAGATCAAGCGTGAGCGTTCATGGCGATTGATACCATGTTAACCTACAGAAATGTAGTGAGAGATAGAGAAGAGACTCGAGAGATTATAGAGAGAGAAGTAGAGAATGGAAAGCTTCAGTATATTTTGTTTTCTTAACAACTACGTAAGTACACTCATCAGTATTTATATTGTTCACTACTTCTATCACCTTAACTAACTAACTAACTAACTGATACAAGTGGTAAAATCATAGCCACACAACCTATCTCTATCAGGATCCTCGCTTGCACCTTGTCGGATGAGGACCAATAGGGAGCCGCCACCTTCCAGAATCTTCGGAGAAGCGTCTGCAGTTCAGGCACCTCCCTCTGCTGCAGTAATGCGACCAGCCCATGAGGAATAAGAAGAAAGATAATCAAATCAAACAGAAAACGTAGAGAGAAAGAGAGAGAAGGGACCTTTTCTGTAGCTGGCGGAACTGGCGGCGGCGGTGCAGAACCCGAGGCGGCTACACAGCGCCCAGAAGATCTCGAAGAAGAAGGTGATGATTCGACGTCGTTGCTGCTCTCTCTCCTCCTCACCATCCAGTTACTGCTGCTTCTGCTAGTGGTGGACACGGTGGACAATGATGGAAATCTGGGGAAGAGGAGCCAATTAGCATACGATATCGTTGCTCCTCTTTTGACACCGTCGCTCACTCTCACTCCAATTTGGCGGCAACGGCGGCGGTTGGCGGAGTTATAGGCGGAGGAGGAGCAGAGTGAGACAGAGTATGTTTGTTGTACCTGTATAATCATTTTTTCCATTTTTTGCTTTTTGTTTTTATTCTCCAGTGACTGATTTTCCTTCCATCCAAACAAGTTTTTGTGTGAGAATTTATACTTGCAACTATCAAAATGAGTGTTTACTTGCAGTGCAGATTCTTAGAAAATATGCATTGACCGACCAATTGATATTAAAAATTATTTTTCTATAAGTGACAAATTATTTTATATTGTTCTACCTTTTTCAAATTCTTAGTTAAATTCTTAAAGCTAGGGCCCCTCACTTCGGAGGCAACAAAATTTAAAAATTTATATATACAATTTTGTTGTGGATAATATGTGGATGGCTCACATGAATGGTTTGTTACTATTTATGCACAATATTTTTACTATTCATTTGTGGAAAATTGGTAAAGTGAATAATGTTCTCTTTACTTATAAAATGAATGAGAGGTGAAGGAGGAGAGATACGAATGAGGATAGAACCAACATGGCTGAGAAGAGAGGAAGAATATAGAGATAATATGAAAAGTTATCTTTGTACTCCTATTATTCTAAATTATAATGAAAGCACCACTACTGCCCTAAGGACGTACTCCAGTCATATTTACTGTAGAGAAACCTCGTAAATTTCGTGTCTTGTTTCATTTATTCCACTGCACACACCGTCGATTTTACAACACGTTATCAGCATGAGAAGCTCTTATGTCAGTGGAAAGCACAACACCATAAATTCGGTGAAGCATTACCTACCTCTCACCTCTGCTAGCCAAAATCTCACAGAATAAAAGGTATGTCCATTTTCTGTCTCTCCCACTGCGCCAAAAGCGTCCCACCGAATTCCGATGAGAATTGAAATTTACAACGACCTGAAGTCGTCACGAGATGAGAAAACTCGTACTTGACAATTGGTTTCCAGAGATCCAGAAAAATCTCATCAGACTTGGAAACCCAGATCGGGTCGTTTTCAATGGATCTCGAGAACTCCCATGAATACTCAGTTGTCTGAGATGGTGATGGCAAGACTGACTCCACTTAAGCTTCCCTCTTTTGTGCCTCCGTCAACCCCACTGTCATCTATGTCTATGTAGGAAGGTTTTTGCTTTGGGATGCCATGTTCTCTGGGCCATGCAAGAACAACGCCAGTCTCTAGTAGCATTTTTGGATTGAATTGGTTTTGTGTGACCTCCACAACAACCCAGCTGGTTCTGGGTTTCGAGACTGGTAGAGACAGATAAAGAAAGAAAAAGGTGGAAGTTTATGGAATATGCATGGCACCATCTGAAAAAGGCAATAATGCACAACACTATTTGAAAAAGTAAGAAAAAAAAATGGAAAAGGCAGAATAATACATCTGCACCATTTGAATGAAAAATAATAATGGGGCCAAAGTTTTTGGAATGATGCAGCATGTGAATGAATAAGAATAATAATAAATAAATAAAAGTAAAGGCTTTTGGATGGTGTTGCACCACCTAAAAAGAAAGAAGAAAATATATATATTTATTTGTGTGAATGGTTTTGGCTTAAAACACTTTTACAAGTTATATTTACTTTAAAGCAATTTATTTACCATGGACGGTTTTACCGTCTATTGCTTTGAGTTTTGATTTATGTGAATGGTGCTAAATTAAGGCCCTTGTCACAAGCTTTATTTAATTAAATGCAATTTATTCACTATGGTTGAAATTACCGCATATTGCTTTAATTTATTTATTGTACTTATCTTTTGTTACGACGAGTATATAACAAGGTCCCGAAGTTCCTTGAACAGATCAGAACCTACAGTTTCTTGATCCTCATCATATAAAATGATTGGACCCGAAGTTCCATCATACAAAAAGATCAAGCATGAAGTCCCTTGATCCTGAAGATCAGGACATAAAGTTCCTTGATGAGTATCGTAAGTTTGAAGTGCCGCAATACCTCAAATTAATTGTAATAAAATCCATAAGAGTCTCAGTCTACAGACTATTAAATAAGGATCAGAAGTTCTTTATATCTATACTCAAAATGGTTTAGCAGAAGCATTTATTAAGCGGATGAAATTGATTACCCGCACTCTACTCATGAAAACAAAATTGCCAGTTTTTACATTGGTACATGCTACTTTACATGATGCATTATTTATTTGGTTGAGACATGTTAGCAACCATCAATACTTTTCAATACAACTCGTATTTGGGAACCAGCCAAACATTATATATTTACGAGTTTTTGGTTGTGTTATCTATGTGCCTATTGTACTACCACAACGTACTGAAATGAGGCATCATTGCCGATTGGGCATTGATGTTGAACACTATCTATCATTCAATATTTGGAACCCTTGACTGGGGATATCTTTACCGCGTGGTTTGCGGACTATCATTTTGATAAGACAATTTTCCCATCGTTAGGGGAGAAAATAACATCGTTCCAGAAGAATGATGAGAAAATATCATTCCAGAAGAATGATGAGAAAAGACCGTTCCAGAAGAACGAAGAGAATTTGTCTTATTTTGATTCACGAAGCAATCAACATGAAAATGAAGTAAGAATAATTGAATGATGCAATGATGTATAAATCAAATGTCATATGCATTTAATGATGCAACGAAAGTGATGAAATCACATATATTTGCTGCAAATATGCCTACAAGAATTGATGTCCTTGTTGGAAAAAAAAATAATGAGGTAGCAAATGATTTATCTGTTACACGCCTAAAGCGTGGCAGACCCTCAGACTCAAAAAAGATTCAGTCTTCCGAAAGAGGAAGAATATGGCACTACTAAACTATTGCATTCTCAAAGAATAATTGTTGCATACCAGAAGCATGACAGTCGCCGCATGGATATACAACAATCCTCAGACATGGGAATGTTGATGTCTCATGCATGAAGCATGATAGACATATAGGTTCCAAATGACCCAACTCCTAGAAGTGGAGATTAAAATCCAAGCTCTATAACGCTCTTGAGGAGGTTATGATCCACATTCTCTAAACTATGACTATCCTGGAAGAGATAGTGTAATGCCCTTGAAGAGGCAATGGATATCAAAAGAAATGAAAAGTTTTTATGCATGCGCATGCACATGAGAATATGGGATCACGAATTGATGATAACCAATGGTAATTTTGGTTTTTATAAGTAGCTACTAAATTCATCAATGAGCTGTGTTGATATTGAGTCTCGTTCTTTTTCGTCAACAAAATTATTGGCCAAAATAAAGAAAGGCAATTCCATTACAATTTTGTAAGAACGCGGAAAAATGGACCTATATACTTGAATGCAATACAAATAGCCAAAATATGTTGAACCAATAAGGATACATATGGGCATTTGTAATACAGTGAAATACACTCACATGATGACACAAGGTTGTAAACCAGTTCATATGAATGGAGAATTATATATAAAGGGTTGTGAGTCGCCCACATCATATCTCCATAAGTAAATCCCTCAATTATACATGGGAGCAAGTTGCTCTGTATAAATTCCAAAGAAAAATGTGTCATGAAGTGTAGAAAATCCCTGAAGGATTTAAATTGCTTGAAGTAAGCCCCGGAAGAGTAAAGCATAAATTATGTACTCAATACCAATGGATGGTATAAATTGCCTTTGTGAGTACTATCATTATGATATTGTTGCAAAATACTAAAATCTGTTGCAAAAGTCAATGACATTAAATTAGAACTCCTGAAGAGTTGATGATATTAAATTGAAACTCCCGAAGAGTCTAGAAAGAATATAAAGTGTTGAGAGAAATATTGTCTCGAACTGCAGATCGAACAATATACCAACATGAATCTTATCCACGATGTTTATGATATTAAAGAATCATATAGATTGAAGATTATGAGTTAAATATTCAAATAATGTCGACACTAAGAATGATCATTTATCTTTGTGAGAGTAAAGATAAATTGATATTTGGTCCAGAAGTACCACATCTTAGTGAAGTATATGCTTTATTGTATTTAGCACAATACATTGAATGAAATAAAGCTTATTTATTAATATCTCCGAGAAATTACAGATATGTGCATACACATGAGTTAAAACAAACAAACAGGATGAAGCCTTCACAAAGGTTGCTCATGTAAAGCCTCAGTGCTCGGCAGTACCCCAGAAGGGGGAGGCACTGGAGATTGATCATGTGGCACCCCAGTACTTAGCAAAACACCAAAAGGGGAAGACATCAGTTGCTTTCAAAATCTAGCAACGAACCTCTTGTGATCACTTTGAATCCGACTTTTAGATTCCTCCAGCTGATCGAGCTTTCTTTTCATGATCTTCGAGTAATTATTTGCAAGTACGTGTAACACTCTATTCTCGTGCTTGAGCTCTCTAATCTCTTGTTTAAGACTTGCCACCTCAGCCATCAATGATTCAACTTGGCGAGTTTGAGCAAGTAGGTGTTGGCCCATATTGGATACAGAGCTCACACATTGAACACTGAGAGCCAATGAGTTTTGAACGGCCGACTCATCACTATTTTGAAAGGATTTTGTTATCCTTTGGAGTGAGAAGATTCCTATCTACCACAGTAACGGTTATGTTATTCTTCATCACAGAGTCCCCAACTGTAAAATGACCATTAAAAGATAAGAAGGACGGGCGCCATATATTATCATGGCGCTGCTCGTCTATATCACTCCTAAGACTCAAATCTAAGAAATGTTAGATGGGCAAGCCATTTTCAGAAATGATGAAGGAAAAATGAGGTTAAATAAAATCTCAAAAAATGCAAGAAGGGGAAAATTTCTACAGGCAACAACTTTTTGAGCATACTATTGAACACAATTGATGTCTCTATAAAAGAAGAGGCAACAGAGCCACTTGTTCAAAGATCGAAGAAGCACCACTCTCTGAATTTCAAAAGCCAGATTTTCCTGAATAAAGTTTGTTGGCATTTTTCAAACGCAATCTCAGCTTTTTCGGATATCGTGTGCAACTTTGTCGAAGATCTCTAACAAAGTTGAAAATGCATAAATCTTACTGTTCTAATTACACCACAGTTGCTGACAAGAGTAAAGGCACACCATCACTACTTGCTATTGAAAAATCTTTATATATGTTGACCTTCGTTCTCCATAACAAGGCCGACCTGAAAGAATACCTAACTCTTCCTCATATCCGAGAATGCATCTTCAACAAAGCATCTCGAAATACTCAGTTTTCT